AGATGGTGACTGAAGCCATGAAATTAAAAGACACTTACTCCTTGAAAGAAAAGTTATAACCAAATTAGATGGCATATTAAAAAGCAGAGATGTTACTTTGCCAACAAAGGTCCATCTAGTCAAAGCTATGGTTTTTCCAGTAGTCATGGATGGATGTGAGAGTTGGATTGTAAAGAAAGCTGAGCACGAAAGAATTGATGCTTTTGAACTGTGGTGTTGGAGAAGACTCTTGAGAGTCCCTTGGACTGCAAGGAGATCCAACCAGTCCATCCTAAAGGAGATCAGTCCTGAATATTCATTGGGAGGACTGATGCTGCAGCTGAAGCTCAAGTACTTTGGCCACCTGATGCAAAGAGCTGACTCATTGGAAAAGACCCTGATGCTGGGAAAGATTGAAGGCAGGAGGATAAGGGGACGACAGAGGATGAGATGGTTGGATGGCATCACTGACTCGATGGACATGAATGTGGGCAAACTCCGGGAGATGGTGAGGGACAGGAAGGCCTGGTGTGCTGCGGTCCACGCATGAGGAGTTGTTGGACTTGCCTTGGTGGCTGGACAACAACAGATAGCTGATAAGCGATGTTGTGTTAGTTCTAGGTGTGCCTCACTGTGGTTCAGTTATACATATACATGTATCTATTTTTTTTTCAAATTCTTTTCTCACTTAAGTTGCTACAAGAATGAACAGGGGTTCCTGTGCTATAAGTGCAGACAGCTTCAGACCACTTTTAAGCGAAAAGTCTACAAAGTGGTCAAGAGGCTTGAAAGGCCACTGCTGACAGCCACCTGCTGCTTCCGTCACTTACCAAAGAGGCTCACAGACCAGACCCGACAGACCAGGAGCAGCGCCTGCCTCCTTGACCACAGGACTGAAAGCATCACAGGCCGGCGACACCCAGTCAGCGGCCAGCCCTGACCCCTGGGCCTGTCCCGGAGACAAAGGTGCTCAGGCCTCGGCTGGATGGAAGCCAAGAGCCTCAGGCCAGGAGCCCGCTCCGGACTTCTGTCCCACCTGGGGTGCCGGAGTCATTCCTGAACCAAACTTGGATCTGCCCACAGTAAAGCCAGGCGACTGCCCAGTTTGTGGGGAAGGAAGTGCAGTGTTTACTGCAGGTGCCAAGTAAGGAGCCCAGGCGGCTCGAGCTCAGAAGACCTGAACTCCCTGAAGGCTTCCAGGGAAAGGCCAGGGGGTTGGGGGGTGTGATCAGCTCACAGACCCTCTTCTGATTGGCTGGTAGTGAGGTCACCGGGAGTCACCATCATCAACCTTCTGGCTTCAACTGGTCTGGGGTCTACTGCTGGTGGGCAGCATGCAGTCAGCTTCTCCCACCTGGTGGGGGCTTCAGCATCTGCAAAGCAGCTCCCAGGACATGGCTCAGAACATTATCTATAGCCCTTGAGGGAAAGGTAAAGGCCCTGGACTTTATTTTATGGCTAAACACATTATCCTGACTGCTTTCCTTTGTTGCTGCGTTTTCTCATTGCTCTGATTAAACTTATTCTTTGGAACTCGGGGAAACTGAGGAGGCTGAATTTTTCTACAGACAAGACGCAGGAAGAGGACTGGGAACGTCTGTGCTGGGGGGCCCAGGTCTGGCTCGGTTATACCTTCTCACTCCTCTGCAGGGTTTCTTCTGGACAAAGAAGTGTCCATCAGTTGTATAAATACCTAGGAGTGTGATTGCCGGAAGATGTGATGAGACTATGGTTAGACTCAGAGAAACTTTCAGACTGCAGCTGCAGTCTTGTATTTCCACCAGTAGCGTGGCTTCCCGTTGCTCTGACTCCTCTCGAGACCCTGGTGTTGGCAGGTCTGGATGTGAGCTACTCTGATCGGTGTGCAGAGGTCTCATATTCCCATTTTAATTTGTGTCTACCTAACATCACATGATGTAGAGCTTCTCTTCATGTGCTTTCTTGCCACCCATTTACCTATTTTGGTGACGTCTGTTCAGATCTCTTCCCCAGTTTTAGGTTGTGCTGTTTGTTTTCTTGCTGTTGAGCTTTAGAAGTCGTATATATATCCTGAATCTGAATCCTTGATCAGATGTGGTTTTGCGAATATTTCCTCCTAGTCAGTGGCTTGTATTTTCATTCTAACAGTGTCTCTCATAGAGTGGGAATTTTTAATTTTAATAACGTTCAACTCATCCTTTTGTTCTCTGAACAGATCATGAATTTGTTGTCATATCTAAAACCTCATCGCCAAACCCCAGGTCACGTAGATTTTCCTTTCTTGGAGTTTTACAATTTTGCATTTTACATTTGGGTCTGTGACCCATTCTGAGTGAGTCTCGAGCTTACTCTGCATGTCGGGCGGTCCCAGCACCAGCCGTTGGAGAGCTCGTCCTTTCTCTACTGAATTGCTTGTGTGTCTGTCAGAATCAGCGACTCCATCCACGCGGGTCTATTTCAGGGCTCTGTGCTCTGTTCTGTCTGCTCTTTCGTGAGCAGTCTGGATCACTGTGGTGTTACAGGGGCTCGTGAAACCAGAGAGTGAGTCCTCCAAGTCCGTGTCCGCTCCACGACTGAGGACCAGAAGTGCTGGCCTGTGGCCTCCCCTGGACCGTCTGCCTCTCTGCTCCCCAAGCGGGCAGGAGCCTCCTTGGATGCAGGGAGCCACGGCGCCATCCTGAGCCAGCTGCAAGGGAATCAGGGAGAAAGGACGGGACGACACACCTGCCCCTTCCATCCTGGAGGGACAGAGGGGCGACTTCAGACTCGAAGCTCCAGAAACCCCTCAGGACAAGCGGCCAGCACCGAGCTGCCCTCAGGGCCTCCCCCGCCAGAGCCCTGGCCCAGGATGGGGCCCGGCCAAATGGTGGAGGCACAGACTTGGGACCCAAGCCCCAAGACGGCACAGGCTCTGAGTTATGGCCACAGGATTCGTGAGGCCCTTCCCTGGGTGTGGGCCTGGAAGATATTTAGATGCAAAAGGTTGGGAAAGCATTTGCTCATTCTCATTATAAAAATTCTGTCATTTTCTGCTCCAAGGAACGTTAACTTGTTCTTTCAATTACGGCTTTAATAACGTCACCAGTAAGATCCCAACAGGCCCCGAAGGCTCTGGATGAAGACCTTCACCCCACTGAGCCGCGCCCCGCCGGCAGCACCGGCCCAGCCCCCAGGATCCTCTGTGACTCTGTCACACTCTAACTCTTCTCAGGCCTTTTCCAAACAGGATGCAACCCCCCACGTGGTAACGATGGTGCTTTATAGTACTGCTGGGAGGCTCAAGTGATTGATTTAAGTATTGCTTTAAGTGATTTACTCCAAGATTGAGGGGCATGTTCCCGTTTTAAAACTCGGAGTACAGCTGTAAATCTGTCTCCACAGGTCTGAAGGGCTCTGTCTCTGAGCAGCAGGCCATGCCCACTCTGGAGGGGGGCGGATAGCGGGAGATGGAGCCGGTTTCCTGGGCCCCCAGGAGGCTAACAAGGAACCACAGGTGCTGACTCCAAGCCAGGGAGCGCCTCCCCAGCCTGGCCCCCTGTGGCTGGTGAGCCTGGATCCTGGGGTGGTACTCGATGAAGCTGGCGCTGTGATCAGCACGGGCAGAGTGAAGGATCCGGTCCCCTGGCTCTTGGCCCAGGACCAGCCTGGGAGCTCAGGAGCCACCAGACCAGCAGCATCTCTAAAGAGGGGCTCAGGGGATACTCAGACCATTGTGCCTTCGGAAGGCACTGGTCAGAGCCCACCCTCTTGGGAGGGCCCTTGTCACTCTTCCTAACTCCTCACCTTGAGCCAGCCCATCCTGAAGCTGGTCCTCTGCTCCCCCATCACAGTCCAGCCTTGGGAAGCCACTCTGAGGGCACCTGGGCTCCCCCAGGGTTTCTCTGCCAGGACAGGCCATGTAGCTGGGCGGGTGGTGACAGCCACATGGGACTCTGTTCTAACGGACGCAGGGATGTGACCAGAAACCTCCCCCCGCCCCCGACCCCCACAGCATACTTTACCTTTCCCCGAGTGCCCACAGTCGCATCTTAGAAAAGTGTGCTCCACTGGACCAGAAGGACTCAGCACGTCTGTACGCACCCATCCCCTCGACAGGTCACTCTGATCAGCTGGGAAGAGTTCCTCCTTGCAGAAGTGTGTGGCGTTTTGCCAGCATGTGCACTCAGACCCTTTCTGAGTTTAGAAGGTGGACCTGGGACATCAAAGGGTGGAGCCCCGGGCGGCCTGGCGGGTGCATCTGTCTGCTCGCCCTCCCTCTGAGGTTTGGAGTGGCCCATTATCTGGGTAATTAACCAGGCCCCCAGCTTTTTTTTTTTTTATTATAAACATTGCTTCATGACCCAGAACCTCAATCCCTCAAGATTCGTTCAAAGCAGATGGTGGGTGGCCCAGAGATGGGCTGGGAAGCCAGAGAGGCAGGGATGTGCGGGAGGGCGCCTGCCCCCTTCCGGGCCTGGGGGAGAGTGGGGGCCTCCCCACTGGTTGGCCCTCGTCTTCAAGGGTTCCAGTAAACCCGGGAACTTTGCAGCATCAGAGAACCTAGTTAGGGGGCCAGCAGGGCAGGTTCCCTGTCAGGGCCGAGGCGGGGTGGTCACTGAATGGCAGTGTCAGCCTCCGAGGGCCGGCTCTGGGCAGGCCTCCCTTCCCAGGTCTGCAGGCCCAGCCCCAGGGTAGGCACATGCTGCTCCAGCACAGACTCAGGGAGGGGTGGCCCGGGGTCCCAGAAATGCCCCGGTGGAGGGCCCGGGCTGTCTGCAGGGAGTGGGCCCGGGTCCTGCGTCTGTCCTCCCAGAGGAGGAAGCAGGGAGGGCAGCCTCGTGCTTCCACCCCTTCCCTGCGGATGGCGGCTTCGGCGATCACGCTCCCCTCCTGTCCACCTGTGGTCCCGGCGCCTCGGCTCGGGGGGCACACAGAGGGCAGAGCACAGGTGCCCCCGCTTCAGAGTCACCTGGGGGCACCCACGGGCCCCTCCACCCGCCACGCCCCAGGGTGCTTCACCTGAGCATCAGCAAGAGGCAGCGGGCCCCCACCACCCCGAGCTCATGGCCCCCTCCCTCAGACCCACTCTGGGGCAGCCCCGCACAGACGGCCCCCCGCTGCCCACCCTTCCCCAGCAAGGCCAGGCCAGACCCTCCCGGGGCCAGACGAGAGGCTGCACGTCCCACCTCCTGTCAGCCCCCAGATCCGGACCCCAGGTAAAGCCCAGTCAGGTCCCCCAAAGCCTGTGTGCTGGGCTGCGGTTCCGTCCTGAGAGCGAGGCCCTGGGGGAGTCCCCAGCTGTGCCCTCTGCAGGGTGGGAGGCACCGAGTCCCACCTGGGCAGATGACCTCTGCAGGGGGCAGGTCCCGGGGCCTCAAGGTGAGTCCCTGCCTCCTCCAGTGGAGACCGAGGGTGGCGACAGAACCGCTGACCTTCACAGGCATCAGACTGACCTTTGAACATAACCACTGACCTTTAAAGACATAAACAATGACCCCCAGGATGTCAGCTGACCTTTGAGGATATAATTGCTGACCTTTGAGGACATAACTGCTGACCTTTGAGGACGTAGCTGCTGACCTTTGAGGATGTAATCGCTGACCTCTGGGCCTGGCGGGAGCCCCATCCCCTTGAGAGGGCCCCGATGGCCCCTGTGGGAGGGGCCGTTCACCCCACCCGCTCCCTCTGCTCCCCTGGGGGAAGGGGGCAGGAGGGAGGACAGGCCTGGGCCTGCAGCAGCAGCTGGAAGACCCCAACGGGGCCCTCACCGTCCAGGACTTTCAGCACAACCCCTCTGACCTCGGACCCATCCCTGTGCTCCCAGCCACCGCCTGCCCCTCCCAGAGCCGAGGTCGCCACAGGCTGAGGGCAGGGCCTGGACCCAGCTGCCTGCAGCCGCTCGGGCTTAACCTGGCAGCGAGCAGGAGTCTTCACTTCTCTTCTCGAGGCAGAACGGAGCGTGGCCTGCCGCTGGAGGAGGGTCTTTCTCACAGACTGTTTCCCGCCCCCGGAAGCAGGGCTCTGCGCGTGACCCCAGGCCCAGCAGGCGCTCAGCTGGGCAGCGGAAGGCCCCGGGAGCTGGGACTCCCGCCAGGCTCCCCTGCCAGCCCCTCCCCCAGGGGGTCTCGGCCTCCTCAGAGGGTTCACAGGGCATCACCTTCCCCAGACACTCAGAGCAGAAACCTAAAAATGGAAGAACAGAATAAATCTAAAGCAAACAGAAGAAGGAAATACTAAAGATAAGAGCAGAAATCAAACTTGGAAATACAGTGGAGTAAAGGGCTTCCCTGGTGGCTCAGATGGTAAAGCATCTGCCTGCCATGCAGGAGACTCGGGCTCGACCCCTGGGTCTGAGAAGAGCCCCTGGAGAAGGAAATAGCAACTCACTCTAGTGTTCTTGCCTGGAGCATTCCATGGACAGAGGACCCTGGCGAGCTACAGTCCATGGGGTTGCAAAGAGTCAGACACAAACGAGCGCCGCACACACATACACACACAATGGAGCAAATCAATGGAAGAGAGAAGGTTCTTGGAAAATGTAAATAAAATTGACATGTCTCTATCAAGAATGATTAAAGAGAGAGAAAATTCAAATGACTTGCAGACATAAGCCAGGCTTATGTCTTATTAAAAAGATAATAAGGGGAGAAATCTGTATGCAGATCAAGAAGCAACAGTTAGAACTGGACACAGAGCAACAGACTGGTTCCAAATTGGGAAAGGAGTACATCAAGGCTGTATATTGTCACCTTGTTTATTTTAACTTATATGCAGAGCACATCATGCAAAATGCTGGAGTGGGTGAAGCATAAGCTGGAATCAAGATTGCTGGGGGAAATATCAATAACCTCAGACAAGCAGATTACACCACACTATGGCAAAAAGCGAAGAACTAAAGAGCCTCTTGATGAAAGTGAAAGAGGAGAGTAAAAAAGTTGGCTTAAAACTCAACATTCAGAAAACTAAGATCATGGCATCTGGTCCCATCACTTCATGGCAAGTAGATGGGGAAACAGTGACAGACATTATTTTCTTGGGCTCCAAAATCACTGCAGATGGTGACTGCAGCCATGAAATTCAAAGACGCTTGCTCCTTGAAAGAAAATTATGACCAACCTAGACAGCATATTAAAAAGCAGAGACATTACTTTGCCAACAAAGGTCCATCTAGTCAAAGCTGTGGTGTTTCCAATAGTCATGTATGGCTGTGAGAGCTGGACTATAAAGAAAGCTGAGTACCGAAGAATTGATGCTTTTGAACTGTGGTGTTGGAGAAGACTCTTGAGAGTCCCTTGGACAGCAAGGAGATCCAACCAGTCCATCCTAAAGGAGCTCAGTCCTGGGTGTTCATTGGAAGGACTGATACTGAAGCTGTAACTCCAATACTTTGGCCACCTGATGCGAAGAACTAACTCATTTGAAAAGACCCTGATGCTGGGAAAGATTGAGGGCAGGAGGTGAAGGGGACGACAGAGGATGAGATGGTTGGATGGAATCACTGACTCGATGGACATGAGTTTGAGTAAATTCCAGCAGTTAGTGAGGGACGGGGAGGCCTGGCGTGCTGCGATTCGTGGGGTCGCGAGGGGCCGACCATGACTGAGAGACTGAACTGAACTGAAGTGAACTGAAAGGAGAAACACCACCAGTAACATTAAACACACAAAGGTGACAGCGTAGGTGAAGGGACCAGCGCTTCACATGGCGTGGACCACCACAAACACACTGAGCATGAATGGCTCATGGGAATAGCCCTGTAACCATGAATCAAGTTGAATTTATAATTAAGATTCTCCCCAAATTAACCTCCAGGCCCTGATGGTTCCCTTGGAGACCATTTAAACATTTAAAGATAAATTAACACCAATTCTATGCAAACTCTTCCAGAAAGCAAGAGGAGGGAAGACTTCCTAATTCCTCCTATGAAGCTAGTATTACCCTGATACCAAAATGGTGCAAAATGAGGACCACAGACCCGCCTCCCTCATAAACATGGTCCTCACAAAATATCAGCAGGTAGAGTTCAGCAACACCTAAAAAGAATGAAAGGACAATTTCCAGGGATGAAAGACTAGTTCAATTTTTGAAAATGTATCAGTGTAATCTACCATATGAAGAAATTAAAGAAGAAAAAAATCGGGTGTTCATATTGATTGATGCAGAAAAAGTGTTTGAAAAAGTCAAAACACATTCATGATCAAAAATTCTCAGAAATATTGGAATAGAGAAAAACCCTCAACTTGATAAAGAATATATAAAAAGAATCCACTCTAACTTTGTACTTAGTGGAGAAAAGCTAAATATTTTCCTCCTAAAAAAAGGCACAAGGTAAGGATGTCCACTCCCATAACTTATTCTTATTGTGCTGGGAGTTCCACTCAATGTTAAAAAACAAGAAGAGGAATTAAAAGACATTCAGTCCAGAAAGGAAGAAATGAAACTGTCCATGTTTACAGATGGCATGACTGCCTATGTAGAAAAATTCCAATGACTAAAAAAAAAAAAAAAAAATTACCCAAAACAAAAAGAAAAAGAAAGGCAAGGAAACAAACAAACAAAAAACCTCCTAGAACTAACAGCAAGGTTTCAGAATACAAGAGCAACAAAAATCAATTATACTTCTATACAGTGGCAATAAACACATGGAAATAAAAATCAAAGATAAAATGACATGCAAATCACAAAAGGAAGGAAGAAATGAAGAAGAAGAAGGGGAAGGGGAGCAAGATTTACTTGTAATAAATCTACCAAAACATGTACAGAACTTTTATGTAAAAACTACAAAATGATAGTGAAAGAATCAGTGAAAGGCACTAATTCCCTCCAAATTGATACGCAGGCTCAAGACCACTCATCAACATTCAAAGATTATGCCTGTTTTATACACATAGGCAAGGCTATTCTAAAATTTATATGGAAATGCGAAGAAAAGAAAAGAGAAAGTGGAGGGATCTGTCTATCTGTCTCAGCTCAAGACTTTTTAGGAAGACCAGGTGGGTCCTGCAGAGGGACAGACACACGGATCAGTGGAACAGAAAGGGAGCCCAGACACAAACCACATGAATGTGCTTAACTGACTCACGAGGAAGACACAGAAACAATTCAGAGGAGGAAATACAGATTTTTTTTTTTCCACAAATGGTGCTAGAGGAAGTGGACAGCCAGATAGAAAAATAAACCTTCACTGAAACCTCACACCTTGTATGAAAATTAACTCAAAATGGACCATGGACTTCAACGTGAAAGATAAAAGAGGAAAGCTTTCAGAAAAAAGTGTAAGAGAAAATGCTTGCTGTCTTTAATATCTAGGGCTAAGCAGAGTTCTTGGGCTTCCTGGGTGGCACTAGATACAACTGAGCGACTTAGCATGCAAACATGCAAGCAGAGTTCTTAGTCTTGACATCAAAGTTACAGTTCATAAATGGACAAACAGATAGATTGGGCTTTATCAAAATAAAAAATTTTTGTTCTATGTAAGGCCTAGTTGAGAGCATGAGAAGATAAGCTATGAACTTGGAGAAAAAAATCTACAAACCCCAGCAGAAAAAAATCGACCAGTCCTGTATCTGACAAGGGACTGGTATCTAAAACGTAGAAAGAACTCTCAAAACTCAACAGTTATACATTAAAAGCAGAACAAATAATCCAATTATAAAATGAGCAAGAGTCACCAAGGGCATTCCACCAAGAGGATCTACAGATGGCAAATTAGCACATGAAAAGATGTTCAACATCATTAGCCATTAGGAAAATGCAAATTAAAACCACAGTGAGGTATCGCTGCCCGGTATTCTGAATGGCTAAAATAAAAACCCCCAAATCCAGCAGGACGCAGAGAGACTGGATTTGCAGACGTGGCAGCTGGGAAAAGTGAAACAGAGGGCCCTCTGGACACCGCTTGGCAGTCTGGAAAGCAACGACGAAACGTGCAGTTACTCTATGACCCAGCAATTGCACTCCTGGGCACTTATCCTGGAGAAATGAGCAGCTTTTTTCACACACAAACCTGTGCATGAATGGTGTAACAGATTTATCTATAACAACCAAAGTGTAGGAGCAGCCCCAGATGTTCTTCAACAGTAAGGCAGCAGAGACATGCCCAGACCACGGACCACTGCTCAGCCCCAGAAATGAGGGGTCCGCCTGGTGAGCATCCAGGAGCCTATGCTCAGTGAAAAAGCCAGTCCCAGGGTTACACATGGCGTGGGTCCATTTCTACAACATTCCAGAGATGGAAAACGTGCAGAAATGGAGAAGAGATTAGGATTTCCCAGGGCTGAGGTGTGGCGTGAGGGCACATGTCCGCATGTGGGTCGGTGTACAGGTGAGTGTGCCCTGTGTGCACAGGCGTGCACAGTTGTCTGTGGGGGCGTGACTGCGTGTGTGCACACGGTGTGCGTGTGCGTGCACTGTGTGTATACAGAATGGCGCAGATCTCACCCCTGTGCCACCTGTCCACCCCACTCCTGGTGCCTGGCCCAAGGTGGGTGACTTCTCCGTGTCCTGGGGCCAAGTGCTTTCTGGTAAAATCCATGTTTGGAATGGCTCTGGAAATGGGGTAGTGGACTCAACTTGGAGTGTGTTCACTTCATACAGCATCTCTGTAGAGACTGTCTTTGTCAGTCACTTGTGGAAGCCTCTTCCTGGATTTAAGGAAAAGTAAAGTAAGCTCGCATCTCCTGCATCAACTCCTGCTTCAACACCTGCATCACCACTTGCATCGGCTCCTGCATCATCACCTGCATCAAGGGTCAGCATGTATCTTTTAAATAGAGCGCTCTTCTGTGCACTGTATTTAGAATATACCTTGATTAACTGAAGACTGTGTTTTGTACAACTTGTCAGAACAGCAGCCATCAGCCGAGCAGAGCCCATGGTCACCAGCTCAGGAGCCACGGGCTGGGGCTCAAGCAGCTGGTCTCCCCGCCCCCCATGTCTGCTGGAAATGAGCAGGTAGGAACAGCACAGTCCGCCACGTCAGATCAGGACTGGGTCTCGAGTCTCCCTTTCATGCTTCTGAAAACCAGTGAAGACACACCTTTCACAATCAGAGGGCCGACTCATGCCAACCCAGGTAAAGAAGACCCAGCAGGTCTTCGCACAGAGGGTCCGCAGGGGTGGCCTTAGGGGTTCCTGTAGCAGCACCGTCAGCTCTGTTGTCCACGGTGAGCTCTGAGTGGGGCCGTGCCAAGCCCACTCGATGTCCACACAGGTGGGGGGGGCACAGCCCACAACACCTGACCTCACTTGCAGGGAAAGTGGGGCTGGGAAGGCCCATGGGGGGCCCTGCACTGTGGGAGGGCGTCTCCTGGCTGCTGGGGTCCAGCCGGCCCTGGGCTGGCGCTGATGAGACAGCCGGCAACGGCATCTGGGGGGACCACAGCTCTGCCAGCTATGAGTGGAGCAGGAGGGACAGGGCCAGGGTCTTCAAGGAAAGCTGGGGAGTCCTGTTTAAAATCCGAGCGAAACACGCAGGGTCAGAGCGAGCTCTGCAAGCTTTCGTCAGAGGTCAGGCCAGCACCAGCACTGAAGCAATGAAGGACCCCCTGGACAGCCGGGGTGCCCATAGGGCCCGGGAGGTCATCTGCCCAGGAATCCCAGCCGTACCTTGGGAGTCTGGGCATGAGCCAGTGGGAGGGCCCATAGCCACCAAGCAGAGCCCCGACTTCCTGGGGGCCCACCCCCCACCTCCACTTGGGGCTGCAGCCAAACCCAGCCCAGCCCTGCCAGGGGCCCAGCGCCCAGGCAGTGGTCCCCCCGGCGCCCAGGCAGTGGCCCCCCCGGCGCCCAGGCAGTGGTCCCCCCGGCGCCCAGGCAGTGGTCCCCCCGGCGCCCAGGCAGTGGCCCCCCCGGCGCCCAGGCAGTGGCCCCCCCGGCGCCCAGGCAGTGGTCCCCCCGGCGCCCAGGCAGTGGCCCCCCCGGCGCCCAGGCAGCGGTCCCCCCGGCGCCCAGGCAGTGGTCCTCCCGGCGCCCAGGCAGTGGTCCTCCCGTCCACAGGACATGCTTCTGGCCCCAGAACTGGCCCAGCGTCCCTCACTAGAGACATGCAGCTCTCCTGTGGACCCCCGAGAGCCACACGGACGGCCAGCCTGCGTCCGCGAGGGCGGATTCTGAACTGGGAAGAAGTACCTCCCTTTGATGAGGACAGGGCCCCCCTCTGCCCTCCACAGCAGGGAGGCTCCCAATGAGGAGAGAGCCCCCCACCGCCACCCCCGCAGCGCTCACAGCCACACCTGGGGACCTTCTCTGAGGCGCCCTGCCCTGTGGCCGCCAGGGGCCAGGAACCCTGCACAGGCTGCTTGGACCAAGGAAATGCCGCCGAGGGCTGGGATCACTGCAGAGCGTGTTCTGGGCTATTTTAAGCTGAATGGTGGGTACTTTCTATAGAAGGAACAGGCGTTGACTCTTCTCTTGCTCTGTGGTTTCTGCCACTAATGGTGAAATCTGTCTTCAAAAATCTAAGAAAAAAATCTAATAAAACTCAGTAATAAAGCTTTGGTAGATTGTATATTTATAGCTTTCTGGGTTGGATCTCTTTTCAGAAGCTGGCGGGTTGGGTTTGTTACCATCTACACAGTAGCCTTTACCGGGTGGCTGTCACAGAAGGGGCCAGGCTCTCACACCGTGGGCTGGGCCCACCAAGTGCTCCTGGGACCCGCTGTCTGTGGGGGGCTCACTTCAACCACACGCCATTACTCAGACACTCCTTCAGCCCTGAGTGCACTCCAGCACCTGGATCCAACCTCGAGGGCTTGGAGGGGTCTTGCAGGCCCAGGGGAGGGGTTGTGCAGGCCTGGGGAGGGTCTTGCAGGCCTTGGGGTCTGTGTGCACTTGTGCTGAGCGGGGCCGGCCAATGCTGGAGTGACTTCTTTGGGAGGCTGGGCTGATCCCTGAGAGTCTCCCGCTGCCTGCCCTCCCTGGGGTCCCCTGCTGGCAGCACCAGCAGGACAGGCGATGGGAGGCAGGCCCAGAATCAGCTCACAGCCATACTCACCCCCAGTGAACACACAGACATTTGAGGGAAGGAGGCAGTCAGCCTGGAGCCCTCCGGGTCCTGCAGGGCAGCTCAGGATAGGGGCACGCTCACCTATGGGCATGGGGGTCCAGGTGGTACTAGGGGGTGGGCGGTTCTGCTCTTGGGGTCTGGGAGGCCTGCCCTCCCAGTAGGACTCCCCTGGCTCAGGGTCCTCGGTGGAGGCTCCCGCAGGCTCACAGGATGCCCGGGGCCTGTTCCTCAGCGGTTGCATCTCAGCGCTCTTCCTTCTGGTTCTCTGAGGCCCCAATGCCCCTGCCATACCCCCTGCTCCCTGCCAGGCACTAGGAGCTAGCTGAGCCCACACACCCTTGGCCAGAGACCAGCAATGGACCGCTATTTCCAGAAATCAAAGATAGTCCCATCATCCAACAGGAGTGAGGGCCCCCCAAAACCCCCTGGAGTTGCTCCTGACAGGGGTGACGGGCACCGTCGGAAAGAAAGGCCTACACCCCCAAACCCAGTCCCGCAACAGCTTCTCAGAGTCCTGCAAGAAGGACTGGACGATCCGGAGACGATCATGCTGGGCCCGGCTGGGCGAGGGCGGGGGACAGTCTGATCCCAAAGGACGACAGTGAGGCTCCCGCGGCGTTTCGCCCGTCAGAGCACCTGGGCCTCTCAGGCGGAGTGAATCAGCTCCCCGGCGGCAGGCAGCGGGGAGGACCTGACCTGGGGCTGCTCCGGGGCTGCTCAGGGAGCCCGCCCCACGCCTCCAGTTTTCATCTCCTCACTGAAGTGCTGGGGCCTCAGGCGTCAACGTCACGACGTCAGGACGACAAGACGAAGGAGGAGACCTTCCCAGGAGACGTCTGTGGAACCAGCTTCATCTTCTCGTTGCTGCCGCGTGGGGAGGACCAGATGCTTGGAGACCGAGCCTGGCTCCCCGAGGTGTGGGAAGCCTTCCACAGAGGAACCCTGAAGCGGGCAAGGGCTGATTTAAAGTGACTTTTGATTTGTCACAAAGCCTTTTCGGATTCTGCTTTGGAAGGCTGGGCCCCAGGGGACCACAGCTGCTAAGACTTGGATTCACACCATCTGATCAAGGCGCCGGGATCCACAGCAGTGCTTGTCCCTCATCCTGCCTCTGCCTGGTCCACCCCACGTCCACTCGGATCCTGGTCTACACTGCCTGGTCCACCCCACGTCCACCCGGATCCTGGTCTACACTGCCTCATCCACCCCATGTCCACCTGGATCCTGGTCTGCGCTTCCTCATCCACCCCAGGTCCACCCGGATCCTGGTCTACACTGCCTGGTCCACCCCAGGTCCACCCGGATCCTGGTCTGTGCTGCTCTCAGTTGGGTGGGGAGGAGGTGTCTGGGGAGCCCTGTCTCCAGCCCCACGTGGGGCAGGTGTGGGAAGTGGGGTGGGAAGTTGGAGGTTGTTCTATACAATTGGGGCTGAATTGTGCCCAAACTGCTTGGAACACAGGGAGAGACTCTGAACCTGTGGGCCCGGGACATGGGGCAACTTCGGCTGATGCTGACTTCTCTGGGTTCTTTACTTCAGGGGTTCTGCCAGAGTCATGAGTCACCCGGCTCCCTCTGCAGGAGATGGTACAGACCACCCGTCACCATGGGAGGCACCAGCTGGCACCTCAGCTCCAGGCCAGGTGCACACGTGCCTGGACCCCACATGGCGCACAGGCCGGTACAGACCACCCGTCACCATGGGAGGCACCAGCTGGCACCTCAGCTCCAGGCCAGGTGCACACGTGCCTGGACCCCACATGGCGCACAGGCCGGGGGTCTGAAGCCGCTGCGCTGGGCACCTTCCGGTTTCCTCTGACACCGCTGGCACCGGCCACCCAGCCTGCCCTCAGCCTCGGGGAGTATCTGGTGCTCTCAGACCCCGTACCTCTGCCCCGGGCTGCGCCTGTGCCCCCTCCCGTTCCCACCACCAGACGCTGGGGGGCTTGAGTCCCTTTGGAGGAATTTAGTGAGGCTGTGAGTGTGGTGTGTGAGTGTGTCGGGTGTGAGTGTGTAAGGTATGGGCGTGTACACTGTGAGTGTGGTCTGTGAATGTAAAGTGAGGTGTGTGTGTAAGATTTGGGTGTGTACATTGTGACTGTGGTGTGTGAATGTTTATGGTGTGAGTGTGTAAGCTGTGAGTGTGGTGTGTGTTGTATGAGTGTGTCGGGTGTGAGTGTGAAGTGTGGTGTGTTTGACATGTGTATGAGTGTGTAAAATGTGAGTGTGGTGTTTGAGTGTGAACTGTGTGGTGTGTGTGAAATGTATGATATGTGAGTGTGAAGTGTGTGTGTGAGTGTGTAGGGCATGGGTGTGATGTGTGAGTAAGGTATGGGCATGTAAGGTGTGGGTGTGTTATTTGTAAATGTGAGCGTGGTGTGTGAGTGTGAAGTGTGGTGTGTGAGCGTGAAAGGTATGGGTGTGTACAGTGTGACATGCAGTGAGCGTGAAAGGTATGGGCGTGTACACTGTGAGTGTTGTCTGTGTGTAAGGTGTGAGTGTGGTCTGTGAATGTAAAGTGAGGTGTGTGTGTAAGATTTGGGTGTGTACATTGTGACTGTGGTGTGTGAATGTTTATGGTGTGAGTCGTAATGTGTGAATGTGGGGTGTGAATGTGAACTGTGGTGTGTGAGTGTGTAAGGTGTGAGCATGGTGTTTAAGCGAAGCATGGTGTGTGAGTGTGTAAGGTTTGGGAGTGTGAGGTGTGTGTGGTGTGTGAATGTCTAAGGTGTGAGTGTGGTGTGTGAATGTGAAGTGAGGTGTGTGAGTGTCTAAGGTATAGGTGTGTATGGTGTGAGTGGCGTGTAAGGCATGAGTGTATACGGTGTATGTAAGGTGTGAGTGTGGTGTGAGTGTGAAGCATGGTGTGAGTGTGTAAGGTGTGAGTGTGATGCATGAATTGTGAAGTGTGTGTGAGGTGTGGGCATGTAAGGTTGAGTGTGTAAGGTTTGGGTGTGTGAGGTGTGAGTGTAGTGTGAGTGTAAGGTTGAGTGTGTGAGGTTTGGGTGTGTGAGGTGTGAGTGTGTGATGTTTGGGTGTGTAGTGTGAGTGTGTAAGGCACAAGTGTGTAAGGTTTGGGTGTGTGAGTGTAGTGAGTGTGTAAGTCTGAGTGTGTGATGTTGAGTGTGTAAGCTGTGACTGTGGCATGTGAGCGTGAAGTGAGGTGTGTGTGTAACGTGTGAGCATGGGCACACGCACAGACAGAAGCTCCCAGCCCCGTGGCCCCAGCCCTGTGAGCCTCCCTGTTCTCGGGGTCCCTGTGGAGCCCCCCAAGGTGCCGGCGCTGCTTCCTCACTGTCTCGGCCCGGCCCCGGTGACCGGACGCAGAGACGGCAGAGCGAGCAAGCCCCGACCTCCGGGGAAGGAGAGGAAGGCGAAGCCTGGGTCTAGCCTGGAGCTCAGTCCCGGCCCCTCCAGTAGACCAAACCAACCCTGTGACGGGATGCCGGGCCCCCGCTGGTCCCCATTCCTGCCCGCTTGGTGGGAACTGTGCCCTTTGAGCCCGAAGTGCCTGTGGGACGAGTCACAGAGGCCACGGGGGCTCTGCAGAGGCTCCCTGGCCAGCGGGCGTCGTGGCGGCCTCTCCTTCAGAACCTTTTACTACGACCTCCTAAGAAGGTGTGTTTGACCAGCTGGCCCCGGGCCTGGGCAGAGAGGTAGGGCTCCTGCAGCATTGCCCCCCACGGTGGCCCCGGGGCCTGCCGGGCAGTGTGGGCGCTACCAGCCGGGACCCTTGCTCACGGCCAGGACCCTCACTCACAGCCGAGACCCTCGCTCACGGCCGGGACCCTCGCTCATGGCCAAGACCCTCGCTCACAGCCACGTGGTCCCACGTGCCACTGCCCCTGCCCATGGGCCCTCGGGTGGGGCCGTGTTCCGAGGCCAAGGACTGGCCCTTGCAGCCCTGCCCCCACGGCATCCTGGCCCGTGACGCCCACCCTTCCTGCTCAGCCAGTGCCCACCTCGTGGCCCCCCTGAGCAAGGGCCCCTCACCCAGCCCTGCTCGGCAGGCTCAGCCCCCGGGGGTCTTTCTGAAGATGACTCCCTCCTGGAGCAGGTGACACCCTGTCCCAGGGCTGGGGGAGAGGCTCAGAGAAGAACCTGTGTGACCTCCGACCCTTCCTCCTCCCAGTCACCGCCTGCTCACAGGACTCCGGGCGCTGCCAAGCTCCCCTGAGTCCGGGAAGGGGGCCTGATCCCACACAGCTCCCGGTCCCCGCGCAGCTGACGTCCGGTTTGCAGCAGCTGGTTTTCTGTCCGAGGGGGTGTCCAAAAGCAACGCCCCTCACAGACACTGCAGGACTGACACCCACCGGTAAAGGACTTACTTTTTTCAAATTTCTCCTTCCTGCAGAAATAAAATGAATGCCATGTGCAGAATAAAATATTCATGTGCAGCTTTTTATTAGGTCTCGAGCCAGTGAGATGAAGGATGACACTGTGCCCGAAGGCAGTGCGGTGGAGACCGTGCCCCGGGGGCTGTGGGCGTCGGTCCCGGGGCTGCCTGAGGACGCCGGCAGGCAGCCAGGACGGTGCCCGCCAGGGCTGGGCACCCGCACGGCCCAGCGGCTCAAACACAGCTACCCCTGAAATCCGCAGAAAATCAGCTCCTGGCCTCATGCAGTCCCAGCACATCCAGAGCCGTCTGGCGTCCCCAGTGCACTGTGCACGTGGCGTCACCGTGGGTTACGTGGTCCCACCACGTGGGACCCACCACGGAGCTCCGAGTCACCCAGAGACACCAGTGCAGCCCAAGGCTCCCCGTGCTGGGCCTCCGGCTAGCCCCAGCTCACCAGCCACCCGTGGTGTGAGCCCGGTCCCCCTGTGGAGTGCCCCCCCGGCAAGGGGAGTGCTCCATCCTGCGGGATCAGGACCCAGGGGTCAGGAGCCCCGCCTGGGCCCTCAGACCCTGGGGCCAGCTGTGGCTGTGACAGCCGCTCCTGCCTCTGCCTATGCCCGATGAGGAACGTGCCTGATACCCTCGGAGGCCTGAGGAATGAGGGCACTTGAGGAGCATCCACCTGAGTTCATGGGTCCTGAGATCTGCAGACAGGCTGGGTGTTCACATCTCTTCCCCAGGGCAGGGCAGGCAGGCAGGCACACCTCCATGGGGTGCCAGCGGCCAGAGCTGCCAGCCTGAGGGGCCCAGCGGAGGGAAGGGCCCCAGGCTCCCCGTCGGGCAGAGCCTGCCGTGTGGACCTGCAGCAGGTCCCGTGGGAGAATCGCCCGGCCACAGGACCCTAGGGACCGTGAGGACAGAATCGTGGCCAGAGTCCTGTCTGGAGTGGAGCTCAGGAACATTCTAGTCACTTACAAAGGCCAGTAGTTTCCGTCTGCAGGCGGCCCAGCTTTGCTCAGGGCCTGGGGGGCGCTTGGGGAGGCCAGATGACCTCAGGGGACCCTTCCACCTGAGGGCCATCTGCACAGGACCCGCGTGGCCCTGGGGTTGTGGGGGTATTCCCTGCCCCAAGGCCAGGCTGTGCTCCACCTGGGGAGACTCAGCACGTCAGGACCACAGGGTCCCGCTCACACTGTGGGCGGGGCAGCGGGGGCCGGGACGAGGGCCCTGTCTTCCTGCACACGTGGGCTCTGCAAGTCCCGCTGCCCCCGAGACCCCCCCTTAGAGCAGCGGCCTCACCTGCATCTGGGGCCTTGCTGGACCCCGCCGGCCCCCTGACCTTTCCCGCCCGGGTCTTGCGCCCACTCCGCCCCCCCCCCCCCCCCGCCGCCGCCAAGCCCCGACTCTCCAGCAGGAGGTTTCACTTGCGGCCCGTGCTCCCACCGCCTCCCCTTCCCTAGAGGCCAAGGACAGAGGCAGACGGGGGAGCCCGCAGCCGGGGGTCCTGTCCTTCCCAGAGCGGCTCGGTCAAAGCCTGGGTGGCTCTAAGGGGCTGAGACGACAACCCATGGAGTGTGGTAGCACCTGACAAGTCTTATTTTTAAATGTGTCCACTCAGCCTGCAGAGGGGCCTTACGTAACGCAGGGCGGTGTGCTTACTAAGTTACGGTGAACCTTGGAGAGGAGGGGGGGGTGAGGGGAGAGACGGGAGAGAGCGAGGGAGGCGCCTCCAGGGCTGGTCCCGCGCAGCCTGGGACTGGGCTGCCCTTGGCCACCTGGCAACAGTGTCCACCGGGGGTGGGGTCACTCTACTGGCGACAGTCAGGGTCCCCTGGAGGTGGGGTCACCTCTGGCCATCCAGAGGGCTGCCTGTGACGCCCCTGACTCGCGGGGAGAGCTCTGTCCCTGCCAACTGGGCCCGCCCTGCTACTCCAGGAGGGGGAGCCTGTGAGTGGAGCCGGGCAATTCCTGGTGCGGCCACTTCTCTGAAGTTGGGGAAAGCCTCTGGCACCAGTGGGCTTCTGGCCATTGGTGCCGCAGCTGGTGCGGTCCCTCTGAGGCGACGGCCTGCAGGGGGCTGGGCCTCCGTCCCTGACGGAGGAGCTGGTGTCCGGCGGGCTGGGGCCCAGCGAGGGTCTGTGCCTGAAGGTGTCACGGACAGCAGACACGCAGGTCTCAGTCAGCGCCGGTTCAGGGCCAGGACGGATGGGCAGGGCTTGCACCCTGGTGCTTCAGCCGCAGAGTCTTGACCCCAGATGGCAGCTGAAATGGGCCACGACCCGCCACGGGACGGGCTTGGTCCCCACCGAGACACTGGTGCCCCTCTGTCCAGCCCAGCCCACATCCTTGTGTACCCAGCTCCCCCCAAAACACGTCCCTGGAGCAACAGAAACCACGAACCTGAAAATAAAAAGAAAATGATTTTCATAAATGAACAGAGCATAACACTATCAAGTGGCTTAATATACAGCTTATTGGAGCCTCAGAAGTCGAGCAGAAAGACACTGGGGCAGAAAAAATTTGAAGACACAAAGCCCAGATTTCTTAAGCTTGACGGAAAAACATAAATTTACAAACCCAAGAAGCCTGGCAGGGTAATACCGAGGCCATGCTCCATAGGCCCCAAATTAACCAATTACTGTAATCAATCAACCAAATAATTAATAATGCTAATTGTTTAAATTATGGTAAGATTCAGGTTTGACTTTTCCAAGCCAAGTAACTGCAGTTCCATTTTTTCTGCGTTGTTGACACAGGCGCGAGATGAAGTGACATATACTGTTTCCTGTTTGGCTAGTGAACTGTCTGAGGCTGCCCCCTTGGCTAATACCACTGGTGCAGAGTTATATAGATTTTCGCCGTAATTGTAGAGCTTGCAGTAGTCAGGTCCCTTCCAACAAAGTTCAAGTAGTTTTTCCTGATGTTTCCTCCAGTAAAGGATGTTTCCTCCGGCTTCTGCTCTATGGGGCGCCTGGTCTTCTGGAGGGCGCTGGGGCACAGAGCTTTGGGGGCCTGAGGGGAAGAGGCTTTGCATCCTGCGTCCGAGCCTGACAGCGGGCCGAGTCGATATCACTCAGGACAAAGACTGACAGCGGGCCGAGTCGATATCACTCAGGACAAAGACAGGCAGGGCGGCTCCTCGGGGGGCAGGGCGTCTCTCAGGAGGCAGGGCGTCTCCTCGGGGGGCAGGGCGGCTCCTCGGGGGGGGGGGCAGGGCATCTCCTCGGGGGGCAGGGCGTCTCCTCGGGGGGGTAGGGCGTCTCCTGGGGGGAGTAGGGCGTCTCCTTGGGGGGTAGGGCGTCTCCTGGGGGGAGTAGGGCGTCTCCTCGGGGGGCAGGGCGGCTCCTCGGGGGGGCAGGGCGTCTCCTGGGGGGGGCAGGGCGTCTCCTCGGGGGGCAGGGCGTCTCCTCGGGGGGCAGGGCGTCTCTCAGGAGGCAGGGCGTCTCCTGGGGGGCAGGGCGTCTCCTCGGGGGGTAGGGCGTCTCCTGGGGGGAGTAGGGCGTCTCCTCGGGGGGGCAGGGCGGCTCCTCGGGGGGGCAGGGCGTCTCCTCGGGGGGCAGGGCGTCTCCTCGGGGGGCAGGGCGTCTCTCAGGAGGCAGGGCGTCTCCTGGGGGGCAGGGCGTCTCCTCGGGGGGTAGGGCGTCTCCTCGGGGGGTAGGGCGTCTCCTCGGGGGGCAGGGCGGCTCCTCGGGGGGCAGGGCGGCTCCTCGGGGGGCAGGGCGGCTCCGCGGGGGGCAGGGCGGCTCCTGGGGGGGGGGGCGTCTCCTCAGGGGGCAGGGCGGCTCCTCGGGGGCAGGGGGGGTAGGGCGTCTCCTGGGGGGAGTAGGGCGTCTCCTTGGGGGGCAGGGCGGCTCCTCGGGGGGGGGCAGGGCGGCTCCTCGGGGGGGCAGGGCGTCTCCTCGGGGGGCAGGGCGTCTCCTCGGGGGGCAGGGCGTCTCTCAGGAGGCAGGGCGTCTCCTGGGGGGCAGGGCGTCTCCTCGGGGGGTAGGGCGTCTCCTCGGGGGGTAGGGCGTCTCCTCAGGGGGCAGGGCGTCTCCTCGGGGAGCAGGGCGTCTCCTGGGGGGGCAGGGCGTCTCCTCGGGGGGCAGGGCGTCTCCTCGGGGGGCAGGGCGGCTCCTCGCGGGGCAGGGATGCGGCCGGACTCCTGACGCCTCTGGCGTCGGGGTCAGGGGGTGACGAGAGCACTTCGGTGGAAACAGGAGGAGCAAAGCTTAGTCACTGGAGCAGATCACAAACCCGGTTTCCCGGTCTGAGAGCGGCAGGTGGCAGACCTCCTGCGTCTGAGCTCGAAGCCCCGCTCCACGGCGGGATGGACGTGGCCCCCGGCAGACCTCCTGCGTCTGAGCTTGAAGCCCCGCTCCACGGCGGGATGGACGTGGCCCCCGGCAGACCTCCTGCGTCTGAGCTTGAAGCCCCGCTCCACGGGGGGATGGACGTGGCCCCCGGCGGGTTCTCCTGCTGCAGTTCGCCGTCTCCAGCATCATCACGGCGGTCCTCATGGCCTGAGAGGCCCGCCCAGAGCAGGTGGGAGGCTTACCTCATGGTGTCAGCTCCTGCGTGTGGAGAGGGGCGGTCAGGTTCTCAGCGACTCCAAGCCGGAAACGTGGAAGGGAAGCTGTGAACAGTGGTTTGGAGAGCCATGGGCAGACATCTGGGGAAACATTTGGGATTTGGGATTCGGTCCAGTTTGCGTGGAGATGACAAAACCTCGGAGACGGCCAGTGGACTGGGTCTGGTAACAGGCATACAACCGTTTTCTACTGAAGCACAGTTTTCAGTAAAACCAGAACCCATTTTCACCAAGGATAATCACAATGAGACTAATTTGTTTGCAAAATAGGTCTCGTCTCATTGAACTTGGCCCAATTATTGACACAAGTGCAGCCAGAACAGTGATTCTTTGCGTAACCTCAACTCGACAGGAGCTTTAGTAGCACCAAGGAGCGTTACTGGGTCTGTGAAGGCAGTGATGAGAAATCTCAGATCAGACAATTAAAAGCCTCTCCAGGGACTCCCCTGGCGGCCCAGGGGATGAGACTCCTCGCTTCCACTGCGGGTGGTACAGGTTTCATCCCTGGTTGGGGGAACTTAAGACCCTTCATATTGTGCAGTGCAGCCAGAAAAATAAAACATAGAAAAATAAAGACCTGTCCAGGTTAGGAAACCAAGGCAAGAACCCACCCAACTGTGTCCTTTATTATAAGAAGAACAAATTTTTATTTAATTTATGTAAATCTCTATATTGCCATGAACATAAGAATATTCAGTAAGAGTTTCTGAATTCTGGAAGGACCAGGCAGGGAGGGGTTCCCCTGGTGGCTCAGTGGTAGAGAATCTGCCTGCCAACGCAGGATCCATCCCTGGGTTGGGAAAGTCCCCTGGAGGAGGAAAGGACAACCCAGTCCAGTGTTCTTGCCTGGAGAATCCCATGGACATTGGAGCCTGGCGATCTACGGTCCATGGGGCAGCAGAGACTCAGACACAACCGAGAGACTGAGCATGCAGGCAGGGGGAGAAATGTCTCATTGCTTTTTATACAAAAGTATGCTTTACCAAATTGCTGTAAGTTACAGACCAAAAAAAAAAAAAAAGATATTCCGCAGATCTGGAGGACTAAACATCAAAGACCCAACAACGTGTCAAAGAAAAAGTTATAAAAATTATAATCGTCCTTATCAGTTCATTCAACTAATTCCTTTTTAAAAAACATTTGGCCGCATCGGGTCTTCGGTGCGGCAGGTGGGTGCTTTAGCTGTGGTGCCTGTACTCCTAGTTGTGGTGTGGACAATCTAGTTCCCTGACCAGGGATCGAACATGCCGCCACCCCCCACCCCCTCCGTGGGCGCACGAAGTCTCAGTCACTGCACCTCCAGGGAAGTTCTAGGTAATCAGTCCTTGTTTTGCTCAATCTGAGGTTGGCTGTTTTATGAATCAGTTTCCCCTTGAGAGCTTTAGCAATTCTAAGTTCAAAGGTATGACCTGTAAAGTTACTAGAAGCCTATATTCTAAAGGACTTGTCAGAATTCTTTGTGAATAGCCTTGCTGATGAAGCACTGTTTCCTGCTGCTGATTAGAAACACGTTCAGAGAAAAAACGAGTAGAATAGTAACTGTGAACAACAAAAGCTATAAAAGCAGCGGTGGTTAAGAATCTAGTGAGAGTTCACTGTAAAGAAAATAATGTGATTAGCAAGTAAATGTGGTTATTTCTGTGACATACTTAATATTTTACAATAATAATTGGAAATATGACTGATTACATGGACAATAAGGACATTAACAAGTTTTTACGAATTCTGTATATTCCTTTGGAATATTAGTAACAGTGGCTCAGATGGTAAATAATCTGCCTAGCAGGAGACCCAGGTTCAATCACTGGGTCGGCAAGATCCCCTAGAGAAGGAAATAACAACCCACTCCAGCTTTTCTGCCTGGGAAATCCCATGGAGAGAGGAGCCTGGCGGGCTATAGTCCATGGAGTAGCAAAAGAGTCGGACATGATTGAGCGTCTGACCAAACATATCACTTGAAGCTTTCTTTGGGAATTTTGTCCTTTCCTGTGAGGTTTATTCCTGGGCATTTGATCTATGTTATTGCTGTCACTGTGCTTACTGTAAACAGGGTAATTTCCCCATTTTCTCCTAAATGGCCATTTTTTAATAGAAAGTCTGTGGATTGTCACAATCAGCTTTGCGGCTGGCCTTGCGGAACCCCCTTATTTGTAACCGTGTCCCTGGAGTGTGCAGGTATGGAACCACACCACCCTGAAATACAGTGATTTTTACCTCTTTCCTCATGTTGACACCTCTTATTCCCTCCTTTTGTCAAATGACGTCAAGGTGGTGAGGAACGTTCCATTATAGTCCAGTATCCTAGAGAATCCCATGAACAGAGGAGGAGCCTGGCGGGCTACAGTCCGTGGGGTCGCAAAGAGTCGGACAGGACTGAGCGACCAACACTTTGATTTTCACTTTTTCACTCCATGCCAGTATAACCTAAAGAAGGTTATTAATCATTGCTTCTACTGGACAATGTTCTCCTTGTCATTTAACAGATCAAATCAGCCTCATTAGTTCAACATCCTCTCTATAAGGAGAAAGAACAAATCTGAGATTTTCCAGACACTCTGGAAAATCCCAAAGATAATTTGAGGCCAAAGAGACTCCATTTAGAATTTGATTTGGGGAAGTTTGTTAAAATGTCAGTTGCTCACTCGTCCAACTCTTTGCGACCCATGGACTGTCGCTTTGGACCCATGCCTCTCTGTCCATGGAATTTTCCAGGCAAGAATACTGGAGTGGGTTGCCATTTCCTCCTCCAGGGGGTCTTCCCGACCCAGGGATTGAACCTGGGTCTCCTGTATTGCAGGCAGACTCTTCACCATCTGAGCCACCTTAACATGGGAACATGGAATGTAAACCGGTGCAGCCTCTGTGAAAACAGTGCGGAAATCCCTCAACAAACTGAAAGTAGGGTGCACGCGACTCAGCAGCCCCGCTTCTGGGAGTTTATGTTGATTTTATGTGACGAGGTGACTCTGGGAAGGTCCCCGAGGCTGGGGGCCGGTTTCCAGGGAACCCACCAGGAACAGAGATGAACAGCAAGACACCCACAGTGCCACAGGGCTGCTCGTGGGGGTGCGGAGCCCCCCACTCCTCACACAGTGAATCCTTGTAGGTTTGGGAGCTCTTTTACTAAAATCTTGAAATAAACTTGAATTAGGACCTTGGCCACTCCAAAGCTCTCCTCCCCCTGAACGTGGGATCGCTGTGCAGTTGGTTGAATGTTGTCCCAAAGAAGGAGTGTCTGCGTCCTGGCCCCTGGTCCCTGTGGACCTGACTTTACGGACATGACAAATGCGATTCAGGGCCTGGAGATGAGATCGTCCTGGGTTTAGGGTGGATGTCCCTCCTGAGGGGCTGGCCACTGGCCTCCTCCTGAGAGGAAGGGGAGGGGGATCTGAGACAGAGATGAGGTGGGGCGGGCGTCCCGTGATGACGGGGGAGGCAGGAGGGATGTGGTCACCAGGCGGGGACGCCTGGGGCCCCGGGGGCTGGGGGAGGCGGGAAGGAGCCTCCTGGAGCCTCGGTGGGGTCAGGGCCTCGTGTGCACTTCTGCCCGGGAGGCCGTTAGCTTGTGCTGGTCTGCGGGGCGGCCCTAGGAGGCCGACGCGTGGACACCCGTCCCCCCGGCCCATCTCCCTTCTGACCTGAGGCTCTGGGGTGTTCCCGGAGTCACAGCCCCTGGGGAGGTGTGGGAGGCGCCTTGGGGTCACGTCCATTCAGAGGCGACTTCATGCCCAGGAAGTGAAACCGAGCCTCCTCCCCGCCCCCCAAACCCGTGAGGACCCTGGACACCCCCGACAGGGCAGAGGGAAGGACGGACCACTTGAACAGGCGTCCACAGAAGCCAGTGGGGCTCAGAGTCACTTGGGAGAGTGGCCGGAACAAAACTGATACACACAAAATAGGTAACAAAAAGCGCTTGTATTTCCCTCTTTCAGTCGCAGGCATCCACACACTTCATTCAGTCTCCACTTTGGGAGGGAGGTCATTTAAATTTTAATTTCAGTCTCAGGACAGAGGGCTGCTGCTCTACTTTTTTTCTTGAAAAAGATTGGGAGCGCCTCACCAAGAGAAAAGCTATGCTCTTCATCAATAATGGAATGCAGGCAAACCACTGATGCTGAATTTTTCAAGCCTCTGTGAATACTTCAGTGAATAATGAGAGACCCTCAGATGGCCATGCCTGGGCCATCGGGGGCCCGGCCGCCCTCTCCCTGACCCTCTTGATGCCGTTTGTTCAAAACTAAGGCCAGAGTTGGTTTCATCCCCCAATTCACTGAAGAAAGATACGGGTACTGAAGGTGACGCCAGAGAGCCGTCTGTCACGTGAGTGCACTTCGGCCATCCTCAGGGGACAGGGCGAAGAGGCAGGCCTCGGGCCGGTGCAGCTGCGGGGCGCTGGCTGCAGCTTCCACCTCCCCGAGTGGTCGGAGGGGCCTGGTGGAAGCCAGCGCCTCCCGCCTCTCCCGGCCGGCCACCGTCCTGCACGTGAGTCCAAACACCGCCCCCAGCACTGCTGCCAGGGGTCAACCGTCTGTTTCCAGAATAAAACTGAGTGCACTTGGCCAGCTCTTAAACACGCGCACACACCCCTCCCTGTTGGCATTATTACCGGAGTTACCCGTGACTTACAACCTAACTCATAATTCCCTGGTGGCTTAGACGGTACAGCGTCTGCCTACAATGCAGGACACCCGGGTTCAATCCCTGGGTTGGGAAGATCTCCTGGAGAAGGAAATGGCACCCCACTCCAGTACTCTTGCCTGGAAAATCCCATGGACGGAGAAGCCTGGTGGGCTGCAGTCCACGGGGTCGCAGAGAGTCGGACACGGCTGAACTACTTTACTTCCTTTTCTTTCTTTACAGCCTAACTCATCAGTTTTCCTACTCAGGGGGTCCTCCCGACCCAGGGATGGAACCCGAGTCTCCTGCGTTGGCAGTCAGATTCTTTACTGTCTAAGTCACCTGGAAGCCCTTCAGTTACTTCAGGGAGGATTGATATCTTTGTAATACTGGGTCTTTCCACCCAAGAATACAGCAGTTCTTTGTTTATTTCCAGCCTTCTTTTTGTATCTTCAGTGGCATTTAAGGGCTTCCTCGGTGGTCCTAGGGTAAGCAAGTGTTAATTACCCAGTTGTGTCCGACTCTTTGCGACCCCATGGACTGTAGCCCACCAGGCTCCTCTGTCCTGGAATTCTCCAGGCAAGAATACTGGAGTGGGTGGCTGTTCCCTTCCCCGGGTGGAAGCCCATTCCCTTCCTGACCCAGGTGGTAAAGAGTCTGCCTGCCAATGCAGGAGACATAGAAGTAAAGAGATGTGGGTTTGATCCCTGGGTCGGGAAATTCCCTGGAGGAAGAAATGACAGCCTTCCTGCCTGGAGAATCCCCATGGACAGAGGAACCTAGCGGGCCACAGTCCATGGGGTCACATAGAGGCAGACACGACTGAGGGGCTGAGCACACACAGCATGTACAGTTTTCTTTGGGAATGTCTTCCCTCTTTCGTCTATCTAATGCAAAATAGATGTAAATGTATAAAATGTAACAGATAACATTCCATCTATGTTATTGTTGTTATTGTGCTTACTGTAAACCGGGTCATTTCCCCATTTTCTCCTAACTGGCTGTTTTCTAATAGGAAGTCTATGGATTGTCACAATCAACTTTGCAGCTGGCCTTGTGGAACCCTCTTATTTCTAACAGTGTCCCTGGAGTGTGCAGGTATAAAACCACGCTACTCTGAAAGAGCAGTGATTTTTACCTTTTTTCTCATTTTGACCACTTCTTCCTTCCTTTTGACAAATGACGTCAAGGTGGTGTAGAACTCTGTCGCGCTCTGACTTAATGACTGTGATATCCCCCATTAAGCAGGATGCTTCCCTGATAGCTCAGTTGGTAAAGAATTCGCCTGCAATGCAGGCAACCTGGGTTCAGTCCCTGGGTTGGGAAGATCTGCTGGAGAAGGGAACGGCTACCTGGAGAAAGGAAAGGCTACCCGCTCCAGTATTCTGGCCTGGAGAATTCCATGGACTGTATAGTTCATGGGGTCCCAAAAGTTGGACACGACTGAGTGACTTTTACTCACATATCAAGCAGGATCTTGGAAAACGCTCATTTCTACATAATTTATTTAGGGATGCCTTTTACACATCTATGGAAATAGTTATATATTTTTTCTGTTTGAGCTGGTAACATGCTGATTGAGAAGAATAGATTTCCCAGTGTTAAACTATCACTGAATTCCTAGGATGATCCTACCAGCTCATGATTCAGTATTCTTTACGTGTTACTGCATTCTACTAATATTTTATTTAAGATTTTTACATTGACATTCATAAACAAGACTCGTTTGTAGTTCTTACATTTGTTCTCCCTTTGTCGAAATTGAATATCAATATTGTTCTGCCTTCATAAATATTGTCTGTAAGCTTTCCTTCTTCTGTACTCTGAAACTGTTTAAATAGCATTAATTATTGATTCTGTTTAAAGCAGTTAGCATCTTGGTAATACTGAATCTTTCTATCCAAGAATATGGGAGTTCCTTCTCTTTTTTTCCGATCTTCTGGAAGCAGTGACAGTTACGCCTTCCTAGAAGGTTCTGCACACCGTCCCCGTGAAGCTGGCTGATTTCAGGGGTGGGTGGTTCTTTAATAGCTGCTGCTATTTCCTCTGCAGCAACTTGTCCACTGAGACATCTTCTCTCTTCTGGGATAGATTGTATACTTTACATTTTTCTAGAAAGACACCCATAAAGCAAAGTACTCTCTTAGGATTTTAAATTAAGTCTCTATGTGGTTTATCCTTCATTTATTATTTTGTGTATTTGTGCTTCCTCAATTTTTCTTAATTAGTGACAGGCTAGCGATGTGTTGAATTTAGCTGTCACTGCTTTGGTTCTTCTGTTTTCTAATTATTGTCTATTATTATCTTAATTATTTCCTTGCATTTTTCCTAGGTCATTCTTTTCTAAAACTTGGGTTAGAAGGCTAATATTATGCTTGGTTTATAATCACAAGCATTTATTTTACTTTTAAGCACTGTCTTTGGCAAGAGGGTGCGCGACCTCCCCTCTGGTTATTTTGAAATACTCTATTTAATAGATTTAAGTTGTGATTTCTTCTTAAACCAGACAATTGTTTAAAGTATGTGTGCATGCTAAGTCTCTTCAGTTGTGTCCGACTCTTTGAGACCCCATGGACCCCCAGGCTTGTCTGTCCATGGGATTCCCAGGCAAGCTCACTGGAGTGGGTGGCCATTTCCTTCTCCAGGGGACCTTCCCGACCCAAGGATGGAACTGCATCTCCTACATCTGCTGCACTGGCAGATGGGCTCTTTATAGTGCCCCCTGGAAAGCCCCTAGAATGGCTGAATTCTAGATGTGCTTTGTCTTATGATCAGACAGTTGTCTCTACTGATTCTACTTCGGGAGACTATATTGAGGGATTTTTGGTAACCCAATTCATGATCAATAATTGAATGTTCCCTGGGTACTTGAAAAAAAAGTTGATTCTCTGTTTTCAGCAGGATATATATTACAGCTAGATATCTGAATCTGAGGACTCATTAATATATAAAATCTTACATTTGTCTGCTTGATCTGTCCTTAACTGAGGCAGAATTAAAGTCTCCCATATTAATGTTTCTCTTCTTTCTCGATCGGTCTTTTTAGATTTGATGCTGAGCTTGGCTGGTCCCGGATGCTGTCTCCGCGTCCTCCTCCTTCTCCAGCTCTGTCTCCGGCCTTTCCTCTCCAGACTGTGTCTCGGCTTTTCCGTTCAGCCTTCCCAGGCCCCCTAACTGTGTGCTGCTTTCAACAGCGAGCAACTAGCTTTGTTTTGTGCTCCAATTTGAGTCTTTTTCATTCAATTGGAGGGTTTGGTCTCTTTATTTCTCTTGATATTAAATTGGTCTTATTACATATTTATATCTGCTTCTGTTTTATTTCATTCATATCTTTAATTTATTTATATTCTAACGTTTTATGCAAAACTTTCTGCTTCATTATTTTTTGTCTTCTTGTTTCAGCACATCACCCGTGACAGCCCCACCTTGGTGCTGAGGGCTCCTCCTGACACGGAGGAGGGCGGGCTTGCTGGGGACGGTCTCCTGGTTCCTGTTCCGGGTGTATTCCACTCCATTGACCCCGGGCCTTCCTGTCCACCAGTCAAACTTCATGAGTAACATCTTCCTTAATTTACCAAGGGTCTGTTCTACACATTTAAATATCCTTCTAGATACATCAATTTTAAATGATTTTTTAAAAGCAGGTTTCTACCTTCTTTCCCTCCCCTCCCTTCAGAACTCTCCTCTGAAATGATTTCTCTGTAACTCCTCAGCACTCACCTCTGTCCCTCGGCCCTAAGCCCCAGAGGCGCCCGCAGAGGAGCCCAGGCCCCCTGCTCTGGGCGAGATGCTCCTACCCCCTCCAGTCTCCCGTGACTGGGGACTTCTCCTGGGGTCTTCAGGAAGGGCTCTTAGGGCCACATTTCCTGAGTTTTTGCAGCAATTTGGGTGGTAGTTTGGCTGAATGTAAAATTCACAGTTTGAAGCTTCTGGGTAAGTCTGCTAGGTAAAACATAAGATGTCTCATTAATTCTGAATTTTAGTAAACAACAAATACTATTTTTTAGTACATACGTAAGTCATGCACCATTTGGTGGTGCAGTATTTTATGAGACATATTTATATAAAAAATGAACTTTTTATATGAAATTCCAGTGTAATTGGGTGTCCTCCTGTGTATGTCTGATTTTTGCTAAGTCTGCCAACTCAGTTCTAGATCAAGATAGAGGATTGGAGACACAAGTCCTCCCTCTCTTGTTAAGTCTGCACAGGTGACATCAGGGGGGCAGACCCCAGGACAGGGACAGGACAGAGGACAGGGCACATGGAGGGGGGAAGGGGGCAGAGGGGGAGGGGCACGGAGGGAGGGGGGACATGGCAGACAGAGGGGGAGGGGGGACTGGGGAGGGGGTGGGGGACATAGGGGGGAGGGGGGGACAGAAGGGGGAGGGGGGACGGGGGAGGGGGGGAGGGGACAGAGGGGGAGGGCCGGGCTCTGGAAAGGAGAGGTCAGGCCTCACGGGCACCAGAGTCCCCCCTGAGCAGCAGGCTCCATGCTCGGACTGGCCACATGGTTCCTTCTTGGGAAAAGATGCAGCCAAGGGCCCTGGCCCAAGACTGCAGGCAGCTGGCTGGCCAGGGAGCAGGTCAGGGGTAAGGATGGCCCTGTGGGACCATTGAGGAATGGGCCCGGCCAGGAGCAAAGGACGGGTGATCTCCTGGAGGCGCTGCCAGATCAGGGCGCGGAGCACATGAACAGGAGCCCCAGGCCCCACCGATCTGAGGATGGGAATCTCCAGGGGGCCCAGAAACTGTGGGGCCAGATTTATAAGAAACCTCGGCCAGATCACACCTGAGGCTCAACTCTGACCCACAACCTCAGCGTCCAGACCAAACCTGCCAGGACTGTCACCTTCCCCCATCCAGCTCTGACCCACCAGGAAGGTCACGGGCTCCCCAACTCATCCTGAGGGCGCAGCCTCCCGGGGTCCCCAAGCCCCTCCCACTGGGAGGCCTTTCACCCCCACGCTTGCCTTTAGGTCTCCACCAAACCCCGGTGACCTGAACCCGCTTCACTGCACCCCGGGATCCACCCTCTGTGCCCACCTGGGGTCTCTGGTGACATCCACGTCTACGGGCCAGAGAAGGGAGGCACCTCTGCCCCCCTGGTTCCTGGGCTGAGGCTGCGTGGGTCCTACTGGCTGGTAATGGGGGCAGGGCAGGCAGCCAGTCCCTCCCAAACCCTGGCTACCCAGACCGGAGTGACCACTCTCGGGGGTGCAAGTGGCCATGGGTGTGAGCGGTGTGAGCACAGGTGGCCAGAGCAGCGTGTAGCGGGCCTGGCCCTGTCCCTTCCCTGAGCCTGGGCTTGACCCCCACCCGGACACCAGACTCTTCCCTCCGATGAATGTCCTGGTGGGCTGGGGTATGTGCAGGGCCCACAGAGCCAGCTGGGTCACTATTGCTGTACCTTCCTTTTTAAAAAAAAAAAGCAAAGTAATAACAACAACGAAATCTCTAAAGCAACTGATAATGGAATCAAGAAAAAAATCAAAGGAAAAGTCAACATACAAAATTAGTTCTGGGAAGGGGAGACTAACCACAGACGCAAAAAATTACGGCTCCTCAATTGTGTCAGCAGTTCTGTGCTAATGACCCAAAACCCTGGATGCAAGGAGCAGTTCTTGAGGAAGCCAAGGTCAAAGAGTCAGACATACAGTCAGACACACGAAGGCCCAAAAGCACAGAAGTGTGGTCCACATCATTCATCACTAAGGAAACGCAAGCTCAAACCACGACCAAATGCCATTTCACACCTGCGAGAACAGTTAAAACCACAGACAGCAACACCAAGGGTCGCCCAATATCCAGGGAATTCCGGGGACCAGGCATCCTCCAGCCTTGGTGGACGTGAGAAGTGGTGCAGTCTTTTGGGAAAGAGTTTGCAGTTTTCGTGAACCGAGTGTACACCAGCCCTGGACCTCGGCCTCCCGCTGCTCAGCTTTTGCCCCAAAGAGATGAGAACACTCGTGTGAGGCAGAGGGGCAGTGAGTGCGTGGTAACCTTGTTTATGACACCCGGACCTGCACCACAAAGTCCTGCAGCTGTGATGCGACCACGTGTGCGCGAGTGAGCACCTCCAGGCCGCGTCAAGGTGGCTGGACTCCAGGAGAAGACGGAGCCAGACGACAGAGGGGACGACCCACGGTGCAGACGGCAGGCCACCAACACCCGGCGCATGTGGTGCAGGACCAGACGCAGCGAAGGCAGGGAAGCCCGGGGAGCGCGGAGACCCGGCAGAACCCGGGCGCCCCATGTTCTCAAAGGGGAGGCTGCAGCGACACTACTAGCTTCTGACTGACACGTGTTCAGGCTGACATGTCGGGCACCGCGGGGCAGTCTTGAGGACCGGGAGCCTCGGGAACGCAGGGCAGCTGCCGCCTGGCCGGCGCTTTCTGCTCGCAGAGGAGCTGAAGCGGCAGGAAGCAAAACCCTCCAACTTCCGTAAGAAGCTACTGAGCCGGAGAAGAAAGACACCTTCGGGACAGAAGGTCTAGGAGGCAGTCCTGGGAGACCTAACCGCTTGGGAAAACGCGCCCGACTTGGGAGAGCAGGCAGCTGAGGGCGCTGCCTCAACACCCGGCTCTGCCCTCGCCTGTCTGGGCGGCAGGCGCAGCTCCGGGGGCTCAGAGCTGGGAGGTTAGGGGTCGCCCCCTGGAAAGGCGACGGCGGGCGGGCAGAGAAGTGACCTCAGGCGATGCTGTCTTTGTCCCGTGTGACGCGCATCTGCACAGCTGCAGATCTGACGTGGAACTTGATTCACTGTCCCCGCCCGTCGGCGGGATCCCAGGTCCTCCAGCCTCAAACCTCACGGGCATCCACCAGTCTCCTCGGCAATGGGCCAACAGGCACCCTACTCCCCACCAGCTAGTAGAGAATCAAGCTTCTACACTACATGTCAGAAATCATGGGATACAGCTAATAGAGTGCCCAGATGGAAATTCACCCTTTTTTAACTTATATTAATTAACAAGAAAGAAAATAATAACTCTTGCACCCAATTCAAGAACTAAAAATACAGCTAAGTTAAGCAGACAGAAGAACGAGATAAAAACTAAAGAAGAAATGACTTAAAAAACAGAAAATGATCGGACCAATAAATAAATCCAAAGGTTGGTTCTTTAAAGAAGAAAAAGAATAAAATAAAAAATAAGCTAGCTAACAAGAAAAAGAGAGACACACAAAATTAGGGAATCAGAAGCAGAAAATAGCCCCAGACAGAGAGCAAGTGGGCAACAACCATGAGTGACTTTGTCCAACTGCACGCATATTGCAGCTCGGGCGAAATGAATGTTTTTCTAGGAAAACATAAATTAAACTGAGTCAGGAGGAGCCAGTTACCACAAATGAGAGTGTTGTCAAAGCCCTACAACGCCCTCACAGCTGCACACCCATATACATGTGCACACACACCCAAGGATGCCCAAACATATATTCACATGTATGTATCCACACAAACCCTGCACACACAGAAACATATCCACACATCACACACCAGCTCAAACAAGAAAGAGAATGTTCAGTTTCACAAGCTCTAGAGAACCTTTAAGAAACACATAATTACCATGTTATGAAACCAGTTCAAGGGTAAGGGAGAAAAAAATGGGAAAAAGAGAAGTTTCTAAATTACTTGTTTGGGAAGAAAGCGCAGAACAACCTTACACTCCAGGGTGAGGCACAGATGGCAGGTCAGATGTTCCCAGGAGCAGGGCCTTCCCTCCCTCAGAAGCTGCAGCTCTGGGTGTGACCAGGTCCTCCCCCTCCCCTCCTCCCCTCCTCCCCCCTCCCTCCTCCCCCCTCCCTCCTCCCCTCCTCCCCCCTCCCCCCTCCCCCCTCCCTCCTCCACCCCTCCCTCCTCCACCCCTCCCTCCTCCCCTCCTCCACCCCTCCCTCCTCCCCTCCTCCCCCCTCCCTCCTCTCCCCTCCCCCTCCCCTCCTCCACCCCTCCCTCCTCCCCTCCTCCCCCCACCCTCGCCCTGTGGGAGGTGCCCCTGGCCCTGTGTCACCCTCACCGACACTCGCCAACGCAGTGGCAGACCTCTGCACCACACAGGGTGACCTGATGCCACTCTGATGGACCGCAGGTGCCCAGGGGCGTCCTGCTCCTGGTGGGCGCAGGCACACAGGTGAGTCTGAGGTGAGGAGAGGCACGTGGGCCCCCCCTGGGCAGACGCCGGGCCCTTCTGTCCGGGCTCCTCCAGGCGCCCCGCGTTTGGAGGGAGGGGAGGAGAATTCAAGGGGTGAATGCGTGGTGTCCCACAATTTCCAACTTGATTTTCGGGCAAAAAAGCAAACAGCAAGGCTGACCTGAAATGCCTTTGCTAAATGACACACCATCTTGCAAGAATAACTTTGCTTTCCAGTCTTCTTAATGTTTAAGGCAGCTGTAAACCTGGAAGCACAAGCTTTAATATTTAATGCTCTGGGACTCTGGAAGTCTAACTACACAGTGTCTGTGAGACACCTCCTTGGTGGCGGTGAATATTTTATAACTACTGAGCACACGGTGCGAAGTCTTCATGAATAAACAAAGACTCGTTTGAGAACCATCTGTGAGGACTAATCGTTGGCTAACTTGGCGGGGATTTGAGCCTCCTCCCTTCAAGGTGGTACATGGCTCTGGACTCAAGGAAGAATGGCGTTTAGGTTTCAAAGTGAAATCCAGAGGGAGCGCTTGTCAGGCATGGACCTGCGTATGCATATTTTATCAGGCACTGGGCTCTAAACTTTACCCAAGAAAACTGTGTCAGAAAACGTGTCAAATGTCTGCCTCTTCCTCCCACTGCCCTTCAGTTCAGTTCAGTCACTCAGTCGTGTCCGAGTGTTTGAGACCCCATGGACTGCAGCGCGCCAGGCCGCCCTGTCCATCACCAACTCCTAGAGTTTACTCAAACTCATGTCCACTGAGTCGGTGATGCCATCCAACCATCTCATCCTCTGTCGTCCCCTTCTCCTCCTGCCCCCAATCCCTCCCAGCATCAGGGTCTTTTCACATGAGTCAGTTCTTCACATCAGGTGGCCAAAGTACTGGAGTTTCAGCTTCAGAGTCAGTCCTTCCAGTGAACACCCGGGACTGATCTCCTTTAGAATGGACTGGTTGGATGTCCTTGCAGTCCAAGGGACTCTCAAGAGTCTTCTCCAACACCACAGTCCAAAAGCATCAATTCTTCAGCGTTCAGCTTTCTTTATAGTCCAACTCTCACATCCATACATGACTACTGGAAAAACCACAGCTTTGATTAGACAGAGCTTTGTTAGCAAAGTAATGTCTCTGCTTTTTAATATGCTGTCTAGGTTGGTCATAACTTTTCTTTCAAGGAGCAAGTGTCTTTTAATTTCATGGCTGCAGTCACCATCTACAGTGATTTTGGAGCCCCCCAAAGTAAAGTCTCTCACTGTTTCCATTGTTTCCCCATCTATTTGCCATGAAGTGATGGGACCAGATGCCATGATCTTAGTTTTTTGAATGTTGAGTTTTAAGCCAGCTTTTCCATTCTCCAATTTCACTTTCATCAAGAGGCTCTTTAGTTCCTTTTAACTTTCTGCCATAAGGGTGGTGTCATCTGCATATCTGACGTTACTGATATTTCTCCCAGCAATCTTGATTCCAGCTTGTGCTTCATCCAGCCCAGTGTTTCTCATGATGTACTCTGCATATAAATTACAGAAGCAGGGTTACAATATACAGTCTTGATGTTACTCCTTTTTGTATTTGGAAACAGTCTGTTGTTCCATGCCCAGTTCTAACTGTTGCTTCTTGACCTGCATACAGATTTCTCAGGAGGCAGAACAGGTGGTCTGGTATTCCCATCTCTTTCAGAATTTTCCAGTTTGTTATAATCCACACTGTCAAAGGCTGTGGCATAGTCAATAAAGCAGAAGTAGATGTTTTCCTGGAACTCTCTTGCTTTTTCGATGATCCAACAGATATTGGCAATTTGTCTGGTTCCTCTGCCTTTTCTAAATCCAGCTTGAATATCTGGAAGTTCACGGTTCACGTATTGCTGAAGCCTGGCTTGGAGAATTTTGAGCATTACTTTACTAGCGTGTGAGATGAGTGCAATTATGAGATAGTTTGAGCATTCTTTGGGATTGCCTTTCTTAGGGATTGGAATGAAAACTGACCTTTTCCAGTCCTCTGGCCACTGCTGAATTTTCCAGATTTGCTGGCATATTGAGTGCAGCTCTTTCACAGCACCATCTTTTAGGATTTGAAATAGTTCAACTGCAATTCCATCACCTCCATTAGCTTTGTTCGTAGTGATGTTTCCTAAGGCCCACTTGACTTTGAATTCCAGGATGTCTGATTCTAGGTGAGTGATCACACCATCATGATTATCTGGGTCATTAAGATCTTCTTTGGTACAGTTCTTCTGTGTATTCTTGCCACCTCTTCTTAATATCTTCTGCTTCTGTTAGGTCCATACCATTTCTGTCCTTTTTGTCCATACCATTTCTGCCCATCTTTGTATGAAATGTTCCCTTGGTATCTCTAATTTTCTTGAAGAGATCTCTAGTCTTTCCCATTCTATTGTTTTCCTCTATTTCTTTGCATTGATCGCTGAGGAAGGCTTTCTTATCTCTCCTTGCTATTCTTTGGAATTCTGCATTCAAATGGCATATCTTTCCTTTTCTCCTTTGCCTTTTGCTTCTCTTCTTTTCACAGCTATTTGTAAGGATTCCACAGACAACCATTTTGCCTTTTTGCATTTCTTTTTCTTGGGGATGGTCTTGATCACTGCCTCCTATACAATGTCATGAACCTCCGTCCATAGTTCTTCAGGCTCTCTGTGTATCAGATCTAATCCCTTGAATCTATTTGTCACTTCCACTGTATAGTCATAAGGGGTTTGATTTAGGTCATACTTGAATGGTCTAGTGGTTTTCCCTACTTTCTTCAACTTAGCTCTGAATTTGACAATAAGGAGCTCATGATCTGAGCCACAGTCAGCTCCCAGTATTGTTTTTGCTGACTGTATAGAGCTTCCCCATCTTTGGCTGCAAAGAATAGAATCAATCTGATTTTGGTATTGATCATCTGGTGATGTCCGTGTGTAGAGTCTTCTCTTGTGTTGTTGGAAGAGGGTGTTTGCTATGACCAGTGCATTCTTTTGGCAAAACTTTATTAGCATATGCACGGCTTCATTCTGTACTCCAAGGCCAAATTTCCCTGTTACTCCAGGTATTTCATGACTTCCTACTTTTGCATTCCAGTCCCCTATAATGAAAAGGTCATCTTTTTTGGGTGTTAGTTCTAGAAGGTCTTGTAGGTCTTCACATAACTGTTCAACTTCAGCTTCTTCAGGATTACTGGTTGGGGCATAGACTTGGATCACTGTGATATCGTATGGTTTGCCTTGGAAATGAACAGAGATCATTCTATCATTTTTGAGATTGCATCCAAGTACTGCATTTCAGACTCTTGTGTTGACGATGAGGGCTACTCCATTTCTTCTAAGGGATTCCTGCCCACAGTAGTAGATGTAATGGTCATCTGAGTTAAATTCACCCATTCCAGTCCATTTTAGTTCACTGATTCCTAAAATGTTGATGTTCACTCTTGCCATCTCCTGTTTGACCACTTCCAATTTGCCTTGATTTATGGACCTAAAACATTCCAGGTTCCTATGCTATATTGCTCTTTACAGCATCAGACTTTATTTCCATCACCTGTCACATCCACAACCGGGCATTGTTTTTGATTTGGCTCCATCCCTTCATTCTTTTTGGAGTTATTTCTCCACTCTTCTCATATTGGGCACCTACCGACCTGGGGAGCTCATCTTTCAGTGTCCTATCTTTTTGCCTTTTCATACTGTTCATGGGGTTCTCAAGGCAAGAACACTGAAGTGGTCTGCCATTTCCTGCTCCAGTGGGCCAGTGGACCACTGCCCTGGGGTCTGCATTTGGGCCCTAACCTTCACCCACGGGCATCGCTAAAGCCCTGGTGATGATGTCAGCTGGGGTTTCTCAGGGAACAAGGAGCAGCTGCAGAGTCATCGAGAGAGCAGTCTGCTTCTCCGTCCCACGAGGCCCCGACGGAGCAGCCGCCTGCGTAAGGAGACGGGGCTCCTTCACCCAGCACGCGGTCTCCTCCTCGCGGCACAAAGTGGCTGCTCAGCCTCTGGCTTTCACAGCCACTCTCCCAGCAGCAGACAAAAGGAAGCGCCAAGGACAGGTGTTCTCCCTGCGAGGACACTCCCCTGTGGCCACGTCACAGTGACAAGGACACTGCTCATAAGGGAGGTGCGTACCGGGACCATCTCATGCCTGCCCAAACCAGGGTTGATTCCTGAGGACGAGGGGAGGAGAGAGAAGACCTCCCCGAAGGCAGGAGGATGAGTGAGGGGGAGCCACTCGGCTGCCCCTTGGCCACTGTCAAACAGCCCACGACACTCTCCCCCTCCCGGGCTGGCCTCCCGGGCTCCTCTGGCCATGTCCCCAGGGGCCCAGGCAGTGCAGGGCTCCAAGACCCCGCTCCGCCTCTGCCCGCCAGCTCTCGCTCCTGGTCATGTCTGTCTAGCACCTGCATCCCCTCACCTGCTCCTTCAGCCTCCCACGCCCTGGGCCCCAGGGGACCTTCTCTAGCTCTGGCTGTGATCAGCTGGGCCCTGTGGGAGACTCAAGGGGACAGGGTGCCAATTGGGGTTCACAGCCCCCAACCCAGGTCCCACAGGAGCCTCTTTCCACCCACCCCCCACCCTCCTCCACGCCCAGCACCCCTCCCCAGACCACCTGGCCTCCCTCAGCTTCCCAGGCAAGGTGGCCACTGGCTGACCACTGGTCCTGTCTGCCGCCCTCTCCCGGCGAAGTATTTTGTTTTACTCGAGGAGCTGTACCCACTTACATTTTTCTTTCAAAGTCTATCTGTGGCCCACCTCAAATCCGCTCTGTCCAAGGTATGATGCGGGTCCCTGGCCACTCACTGCCCAGCTGTCCTGGCATCCTTGTTGCCGAGACTCGCCTTTCCCTCCCTAAATGGCACATCTGGCAAGCGCATGTGGCTCGGTTCTCAACTGTCTGTCCTGTCATCTATTCGTCTGTCTTTCATCAACACGACACTGTCCGAAACACCCCGGCTTTAGAGTAAGTCTCCAAATCCAGGCGTGTCCCCGACCTTTGTTGTTCTTCCTCAAGGCAATCTCGGCCATTCCAGGCCCTTTGTGTTTCCATGTAAACTTCAGAATCACTGTCAATTTCCAAAAAGCGCTGCTGGGACTCTGAGGTTGTGCCAAGAGGAAAGATCAGGCTGGAGAGAAGGTTGGGTCGCAGGTCAGCCCTGGTTCATGAGCTTGGGGTTCACGGGGGCTTCTAGTTTCCCGTGGATCAGTACCAACACCCCTTTTGTTAAATTTATCCCACAGTAGTTGGTTCTGATGCTGTTTTAAATGCTCCAGGACCGCGGCACTGGTCCTGCTGGGTGCAGTGTTTTGTAGATGCCACAGGGTTTTTAACTCCCATGATCACTTTGTTTATGGATAAAAGCCCATCAACTTGAAAAGTGCTCAGCTGTCTTATAAACCTTTAAAAGACCCCTCCCCAGACCCCAAAGGCCCCACGTCACCTCCCCACTAGGAGCCGGACTTCTGGACAGAATTATGGATCAAAGTCTTTCCCTCCCACTCCTCCCCATGCTCACTCTCCCACCCGCGCCACCCGCACCCCCTGCCGCCCTATTAGAGGCACGCCGTTCTTGAGCCACTGGCCTCCTCCTGGGTGCTTTAAACCCGACAGGACTTCTCAGAGCTGACCTCACCGCCGTCCGGGCCCTGCCTGCCCCTTCCCCTGGCTCCCCGACTCAGCCCTGCATGGCGTCCTGTCCCTCTCCAGTCTCCCCTCTGTCTCCCTGAAGTTCTTCCTGCTGCCTGAGGCCCAGGGGTCTCCAGGGCTACCTCGGGACCCCGCTCCCCCTCTGCAGTCTCACCAGCACCCCATCCCCTGTGCGCACCTCCCTACAGGCCTGCACCTCCAGCCCCGACCTCTCCTCCCACAAATGTCGGCCCTGATCCACCTGTCACAGACAGAAGGCCTGCCACCCCCGAGTCTCCGAGCACCCACCCTTTCCTAGAACGTCCCGGGGCGACCCCATGCCCCATCCACCTCCTGGGTGTGCAGTCTCTGCTGTGGGCCCCGGGCCCTCCCCAGCCCCACAGCCATCACTGACCGCGCTCCGTTCCTGCCCTCAGCCTGCGCGCCTGCCGGTGGACGACACTCCTCACCCGTGCCCTCTCATCAGTCTTCCCCTGGGGCCAGGAACACGCTCAGACCCGCGCACACCGTTTCAGGCGGAGGAAGGGGAACCTGCCCTGCCGGTGGCCTCTCCTGTCCCCGCCCTCCAGACCTCAGCAGAGGCTACTCCCTTGGCGTCCTCACCCCTCTCTGTCCAGCACTGTCCCCTCTTTCAGACCTCAGCTCATCTGCCCTGAGCTTGGGCATTCCCCCAACGCCCTTCCAGGGACAGGCCTTCTCTACCAAGGGCAGGCTTCCTGCTTCCCCTGCAGGGCGGGGCGCACAGATACTCATGAGGGTGTCGTGTCCTCCCCCACGGGAGGGGGACCCGTGGACGGACCGTCCATCCCGCAGGCCCAGATCAGCCCCAGGGAGCAGCAGGGGGCACAGAACTATTTGCAGGACACATGAGTGAACATGCTGAGGAACAGCGCCGCTTTCTGGGGGGCTAGGAGGGGCTCACAGAGAAGGCAATGGCACCCCACTCCAGTACTCTTGCCTGGAAAATCCCGTGGATGGAGGAGCCTAGTAGGCTGCGGTCTATGGGGTCGCTAAGAGTCGGACACGACTGAGCGACTTCACTTTCACTTTCACGCATTGGAGAAGGAAATGGCAACCCAATCCGGTGTTCTTGCCTGGAGAATCCCAGGGACAGGGGAGGCTGGTGGGCTGACGTCTATGGGGTCGCACAGAGTCGGACACGACTGAAGTGACTTAGCAGCAGCAGCAGCAGGAGGGGCTCAGGCGAGGGCCAGGGCCGGAAGCTAAGGCATCCTGGACTAGCGACACCCAACCAGGACCCCCAGAATCCAGCGCGGCCCGGGGGCAGCTGCGGTCTGCAGCCCAGCCACGGGCGTGGGCAGCGGCGGGGGCAGGGCTGTGGACCCGCCAGCGAGGGTGCGGTCCCGGCTCCGCCCAGCACCCGCCCCCCAACCGGCCCCCGCCCCGGCTCCTCCCAAGGCCCCTCCCCAGACCCCTCCCCAAGCCCTCTCCGCGGGGCTGGTGGGCGCCGGCGCGCTGAGCCTCCGGACAAGTCTGGTCCTGCCGCCGACCCGTAGTCTCGCGTCCATCTCCGTCGCTAGGCAACCCCGAGGCCCAGCGGAGAGAAAACCAACCGACCTCCGGCAGTGGGCACCTCGGACGCCGGCGCCATGGACCTGGTCATAACACAGGAGCTGGCCCGCGCCGAGAGCCAACAGGGTGGGCGGGGGAGGTCGAGACCCCCTGACCCCCACCCCCGGGAGGACTCCGGGACCTACTGGATCCCAGCCCCTGGGATGACCCCGGGACCTGGGGATCCCTGCCCCCGGGAGACCCCAGAACCCGCCTGTCCTCCGCCCCCGGGGAGGCTCGGGGACTCACTGAATCCAGCCCCCGGGGAGACCCCGGGGCCCACCAGGACCCCCTCCCCACCCTGTTGACCCCTGCCCTACCTGATCCAGTGGCCCCTTGAATCCAGCATTTCCAGGATGTGTTTGACCAGGGCAAACTGAGGCGCCTTTTTAAAGGAAAGCTTTCGTTTTTTCTAACTGTTCCTCGGAATCACTCACCTCGCGGGGCTCCCGCAGCCCGAGCCGCAGGGCTGCCGCGGGGTTCTCGGGCTGGTCTCGGAGCACCTTGCCCCCGGGCTCCTCCCCTGGAGAGGAGCGCACCAGCGGGGCCCAGCCTGCCCGACTCCAGCCCCGTCCTGGGCCTCCTGACGGTCCCCGCGGCTGCTCTGCGGCGCGGTGGCCGCTTGATGACCGCGTCTTCCTCACTCCTGTCCTGGTAGACGCTGACGCTCTGAAGAGGGCTTACCAGTTGATTAAGTCCGCCAACCTGGGCAAGTCCGAGTTCGACCCCACAGAGAGCTTCAGCCCGGACCTGTTCGTCTTATGTGCAGAGCAGGCCCTGAAGGTGATTAGTCCCAAGGCTCCTAGGGACGCAGCTTCAGGGGACCCCGATCTCCTGGTGTTCACTGGAATTGGGAAGCGCGGCCCCTGGTGGGTCGCCCACGGGCTGCTCGGTCTCTCAGCCTCTCGGTGTCTCTGTTCTCACACAGATGGGGCAGCGGGAGGTGAGTGAGGACTGCATCCAGATGTACTTCAAGGTGAAGGGGCCGGTCACCCAGTTTCTGGGCCGGGCGCACCTGTGCAGGGCCCAGCTGTGTGCCCCCAAGTCCACGGAAAACATGGTGAGAGGCAGCCCTGAGCCCCGCGTGCCGGGTCCTCCTGATTCTCTTCCTTTTAAGTGATGAAGCCTTGGAGTCCACAACCTTGAGTCTGCTGGCGCAGCGAAGGGCACCCGTAGCTCGTCTGCCATCCTGAGATGAATACTTTATTGCTGGCCCTGCTGTATTTCCCCTGAGTCCCTTTGAGTCTCCTCAGAGTTCCACATCTCGCCCCCACCTCCAGCGTGGTTTTGTTGGGAGCTGGGTGACCAGGCTCATCTTCAGTGAAGTGCGACGCTGCATTGCCATCTGTGCTGTTCCCTAAGCTCTGGGGTCTGGCTTGTGTCCTTTTGAACTCTGACCTTTGCGTCCTAGTGCTGTGGTCATGCCTGCTCATGGGGTAGGGGGTGGGCTTTCAGGGAGGGGGCTGGCCGTTCCACCTAATTCTTTATATTGTTTTAGGAGGAATTTGAAAATTGTGTGACTCAGTACATGAAGGCAATCAACTTTGCAAAAGGAGAACCAAGGTGGGCATGATGGATCGGCCATTTCTAATTGAAAGGTTTGGAGCCAGAATTTGGCAGGTGGTTTTGTCTGTGTAGGTGACAGGGTTTTGTTTTCTTTTGTCGGTGCTTTACTGCAGCTCTGGCTGTGCGCTCAAGTCTCCTAACGCTGGAGCTGGGCCGCGTGCACTCACGTCTGCCCTGGCTGCACCCTCTTTCCTGTGCAAATTCTGTGACCTGCAGATGACCTTTGGTTGCTGTCCCTGTGGCAGCCTCACCCTTGGCCGGTCCCCAGGAGTCCCCTTTTCCGTCCTCTCTGGGGGGCAGGCACTGGGCCCCTCCCTGCCCTCCCCCCGCAGTCTTGTACACCCTCTGGCCCAAGGCCTTGTGTCTGGAGGGGTGATTCTCCTGGAACTCCAGCACAGTTTTCCACTTAGTTAATACATCATCAGAAAGAAGTATTACTGAAATTGTTAAGTCTGCATACAAACTGGTGTTTACACAACATATCTGAGTAGGACACATTCAGCCCTAGGAGATGCGTTTCAGCCTAGGA